TGTGACTCAGTTCTAGCTGCTTGTCAATCTGTGGCTCTTAGTGCCAAAACAGGTGTTTGAAGAGGGACTGAGGAAGACGGTGAGAGATTGTGAAGGGAACTAAAAAAAAGATACATATTGGACATCCCTTTTGATAGTCTGTCTAAAAGTATTGCACAACAAAATTTACTCATTTCTTTTTGGTATCTCGGGTTGTCCAAAATGTCATCTACTGCCTTCTTTTATTTAAATTCCTCTTCTTATGCTTCTGATCATTGCACTGATGGAACGAGCAGGGCCTTTCCGATGACGGGTGGAAGATCTTCCCTGAGATCTTCCGCACTTCAGATCAAATTTTGTATTCTTGTCACTGGTTGGGGTGGAAAAGCACACCCTGCAAATTCTCAGTGGACTGTGGATTTGCAACCTTCCGTATGAGATATTATTTAAGTCCCAAGCAATGCTTTTTAGAAGCAGACATTTCACATTTATTAAAAATTAATGGCCTGTATCTTTTTATATCTTATTTTATGACACAAGCTGAGCTAGTTCTCAAGAGACAATTAGCTTAGTCACCATATTTGTCTTGACATTGACTATTTGTTGTCATTAATTACACAGTTGGGTCAAAAAACATGCTCCTTGGGAGTGGGAGGAGTTGAACTGATATGATGGATGGATGGAACCCCAACTATTCCTCTCTACGTTCTGGATTCAAAAATATGACACGACCCTTCAAAAAACGTTGTGTGCTCTTTGAAGTGTGTTATTTGTGGTGCGAATGGATACTGTCAAGTCCAATTTAGATGGGATTCATGAGTAGTGGCTGTTGGTTTTAAAGTTCAAAAAGCTTTTGAAACAGCCGGCTCTGTTTTCCTTGCCTGTCGGTGTCTGATAGAGATGAGATGTGGCTTGAAAAGGATGCGGTCAAGGACGATGGGCCAAGGACGTGTTTCAGCAAACACTTTTGCTATGCATTGTGCGTGCCCCAAGGGTGGCTGCTCCTCAGACCTAATCTAACTCTGATGCACACGTTTCCGACGATTACACACACCTTACGTTGTCGAAGTGGGATTTAAACGAAAAGCCATGTTCAGCAACAGTAGAAATGCCTGGTAGGATGCAACATAACTTTAACCGGCTTGTTTCATTTCAGGTAAACTGAAATAGGGGTTTCTGATAGTGAATACTGAATTCAAGATGGCTGCCACAGCCAACTGACTGGGAAACACAAAAAATGTTGGCATTCAGTCAATTTAGAAGCTGTTGAGATCAAATTAGGTGTGGCAGTAGCTGAGCATGACTAAATAAAATACATACTTTGGTCACTACACAACGTGAAATGGTAAATGGACTGTACTTATATAGAACCTTTCTATTTTATCAAGATACTCAAAGCACTTTACACTACAACCTGTACCCACATTTATTCATTCATACAGCACTCTAGTAGAGCTCTACAAAGCTAATTGAACAAATCATTCTAAAGAGACTAACTGCATTGTCACATTCACTGATGGGGCATACATCAGAGGCAATGAGGGGTTCAGTGTCTTGCCCAGGGACACTTCAGCATGTGACTGCTGGTGGATTCAAACCCCCAACTCTTGCATTGGAGGACAACTGCTCTAACCACTCAGCCACAGCCGCCTTGATTACCATCATGTTTGCTTAAAACTTTAGCATTAACTATTAGAGCCAACATTGTCTATCAGCAAAATATATCATGAACAACTTGGCAGATTTGTTGAAAGTATCAGAAAATAATCAATGGTTGTACTCCTACGACTCATATCATTTGGAGTCAACTTAACTCAAGATGGCCACCACAGCTTATCATCTGTGGCCAACACAAAAGTGGCTTTGAATCAGTCACATTACTGCACTAAATTTGAAGTGGTAGTAGCTAGGCTTGTCGCGATAAACAATAAATCAATTAATCGCATGATAAATGAAAATGATCAGCCTCATTTTCATTTATCGGCTTTATCGTTTCTTCATGTCTCTCTTTCTGTTTAAAACACTGGATGACAAAAGGCTCAACTCTGCTCTTCACTGACCCCTCCCTTTCTCTTTCAAATCTGTTTTAACAAACCAAAATCACGTTGTTGGATCGTTAAAAGTAGCTAAGCTGAGAAGCTAAGTTAACACGCCGACCTCTGGAAAAAATCTCTGTCTTGTCAAAGCACCAAAATTCATGGTTGGATCCCCTGCCTTTGTCTAAAAAGTTGATTTTCTCTGCAAAAAGAAGATGAGAACTTGTTAAGTTATTTTTTATTAAAACCTTTGTGTGACAAATGCTATGCTAAAGAGCTCAAACCACACCAAGCATCTGCCATTTTGAGAACTGAAAAACAGGACAGAGAGACAGCCCATGTCACGTCAAGAGACCTCCCTCCCATTTTTCCTTAAAGAGAGACGCTGCTTGCTTCCTCACTATCCATCCTTTGGTTCAGTCCTCCATTCAGTGGTCAAAAAATTATACTACACACAAAAATTAACAAACGTTTCTTCTTAAATTTGACAATATTTACTAATTATTGTCAAATTTAAAACAATATTATCATTTATCGCAATAACTTCTGAGACAATTAATCGCCCCACAAAATTTGATATTGTGACACGCCTAGTAACAGCTGATAGTCATTCCTAACAACTCTGAGTCCTAAAACATCTTGCAAGTTTTCACAAAAAAATTGATCCAAACAGCTAGAATGTCTCTGTCTGTCTGTCTCTGTCTGTCTGTCTGTCTGTCTGTCTGTCTGTCTGTCTGTCTGTCTGTCT